CTGCTCATCCAAGGCTCTGGGGCTTCCACCACGTACATAGAAAACAAAAGGGAACAGAGCGCCACCTCCGTGTGTAAAATCGTTTATTACAATAAATAAAACAAGGGATAAAAGTACTCACAAACAAACGTTTTCACCAGGCTTTAACAACAAGCGAGAGGCCACACTGTCTGTTGACCCAACATGGTATCCCCCCGACTATGTAACACGGTAGTATCCGGTCACATCACCGTCCACCGAGCGCAGTCAGCCAAGATTGACGCGTTTCAGGGGCAAGCCCCCTTCCTCAGAATCATTAGAGTCTATCCATTGGCTAGAGACTGGTGACATCACTAAGACATTTCATGTTCATGAGACTGCAGCCTATCCATTCAACAAAGATAAGTGAGAGACACTTCATATTCATAAGACCGCAGCCTATCCATTGGCTAGACATCACTGATACACTCCATATATATGAGAACAGCCTCTCCATTCACTAAAGACCAGTGACATCACCAAGACACTAATATTCATGAGGATACAACATCATATCTATTCATTAGAGACCAGTGACATCAGTGAGAATCTTCATGTATGAAGAACACAGCCTACCCATTCACAGTTCATAATATGGCAGCTTCCCCATTTAATAGAGACCAGTGACATCCCCAAGATGCTTCATCTTGTCTTGATTTGTATTGTCTTCCTTATATTGTGAAGCGCTGCGCACACTGATATGGCCTATCCATTTACTAGAGACCTTGAAATCAATGATACACTCCATATATATATGAGAACCAGTGGCTCGCACCCGGGTGACACCATTGCAGGGGTGACACCAAAATGACTTGGTGTCACCCGCTCTAAAAAGTCAGGCACTCGGTCATGGAGAGTGGAGGGGACCCGGCAGGATGAGGGTGAACGTCCCCTCCTCTCTCTGCCGGCGTCCATCACCAAGATGGCCGCCGGCAGGCATCAATCAGATTGGCGCACGCGCGCCATGACACCTGGCCTCGGGACGCCCCTGATGAGAACACGACCTATCCATTCACTAGACCACAGGCAGTTCACAATGTGATAGTTTAGCCATGTAGAAGAGACCAGTGACATCACCAAGATGCTTCATATTTATGAGAACATAGCCCATCCATTCATTAGAGACCAGTGACATCACTGATACACTCCATATGTATGGGAATGCCGTCTATCCATTCATTAGAGACCAGTGACATCACTGATACACTCTACATGTATGGGAATGCCGCCTATCCATTTACTAGAGACCAGTGACATCACCCACACCCTCCATATGTATGGGAATGCCATCTTTCCATTTACTAGAGACCAGTGACATCACTGATACACTCCATATGTATAGAAATGCCGCCTATCCATTTACTAGAGACCAGTGACATCACTGATACCCTCCATATGTATGGGAATGCCGCCTATCCATTGACTAGAGACCAGTGACATCACCCACACCCTCCATATGTATGGGAATGCCGTCCTTCCATTTACTAGAGACCAGTGACATCACTGATACCCTCCATATGTATGGGAATGCCGCCTATCCATTGACTAGAGACCAGTGACATCACCCACACCCTCCATATGTATGGGAATGCCGTCCTTCCATTTACTAGAGACCAGTGACATCACTGATACCCTCCATATGTATGGGAATGCCGCCTATCCATTGACTAGAGACCAGTGACATCACCCACACCCTCCATATGTATGGGAATGCCGTCCTTCCATTTACTAGAGACCAGTGACATCACTGATACCCTCCATATGTATGGGAATGCCGCCTATCCATTGACTAGAGACCAGTGACATCACCCACACCCTCCATATGTATGGGAATGCCGTCCTTCCATTTACTAGAGACCAGTGACATCACTGATACCCTCCATATGTATGGGAATGCCGCCTATCCATTGACTAGAGACCAGTGACATCACCCACACCCTCCATATGTATGGGAATGCCGTCCTTCCATTTACTAGAGACCAGTGACATCACTGATACCCTCCATATGTATGGGAATGCCGCCTATCCATTGACTAGAGACCAGTGACATCACCCACACCCTCCATATGTATGGGAATGCCGTCCTTCCATTTACTAGAGACCAGTGACATCACTGATACCCTCCATATGTATGGGAATGCCGCCTATCCATTGACTAGAGACCAGTGACATCACCCACACCCTCCATATGTATGGGAATGCCGTCCTTCCATTTACTAGAGACCAGTGACATCACTGATACCCTCCATATGTATGGGAATGCCGCCTATCCATTGACTAGAGACCAGTGACATCACCCACACCCTCCATATGTATGGGAATGCCGTCCTTCCATTTACTAGAGACCAGTGACATCACTGATACCCTCCATATGTATGGGAATGCCGCCTATCCATTGACTAGAGACCAGTGACATCACCCACACCCTCCATATGTATGGGAATGCCGTCCTTCCATTTACTAGAGACCAGTGACATCACTGATACCCTCCATATGTATGGGAATGCCGCCTATCCATTGACTAGAGACCAGTGACATCACCCACACCCTCCATATGTATGGGAATGCCGTCCTTCCATTTACTAGAGACCAGTGACATCACTGATACCCTCCATATGTATGGGAATGCCGCCTATCCATTGACTAGAGACCAGTGACATCACCCACACCCTCCATATGTATGGGAATGCCGTCCTTCCATTTACTAGAGACCAGTGACATCACTGATACCCTCCATATGTATGGGAATGCCGCCTATCCATTGACTAGAGACCAGTGACATCACCCACACCCTCCATATGTATGGGAATGCCGTCCTTCCATTTACTAGAGACCAGTGACATCACTGATACCCTCCATATGTATGGGAATGCCGCCTATCCATTGACTAGAGACCAGTGACATCACCCACACCCTCCATATGTATGGGAATGCCGTCCTTCCATTTACTAGAGACCAGTGACATCACTGATACCCTCCATATGTATGGGAATGCCGCCTATCCATTGACTAGAGACCAGTGACATCACCCACACCCTCCATATGTATGGGAATGCCGTCCTTCCATTTACTAGAGACCAGTGACATCACTGATACCCTCCATATGTATGGGAATGCCGCCTATCCATTGACTAGAGACCAGTGACATCACCCACACCCTCCATATGTATGGGAATGCCGTCCTTCCATTTACTAGAGACCAGTGACATCACTGATACCCTCCATATGTATGGGAATGCCGCCTATCCATTGACTAGAGACCAGTGACATCACCCACACCCTCCATATGTATGGGAATGCCGTCCTTCCATTTACTAGAGACCAGTGACATCACTGATACCCTCCATATGTATGGGAATGCCGCCTATCCATTGACTAGAGACCAGTGACATCACCCACACCCTCCATATGTATGGGAATGCCGTCCTTCCATTTACTAGAGACCAGTGACATCACTGATACCCTCCATATGTATGGGAATGCCGCCTATCCATTGACTAGAGACCAGTGACATCACCCACACCCTCCATATGTATGGGAATGCCGTCCTTCCATTTACTAGAGACCAGTGACATCACTGATACCCTCCATATGTATGGGAATGCCGCCTATCCATTGACTAGAGACCAGTGACATCACCCACACCCTCCATATGTATGGGAATGCCGTCCTTCCATTTACTAGAGACCAGTGACATCACTGATACCCTCCATATGTATGGGAATGCCGCCTATCCATTGACTAGAGACCAGTGACATCACCCACACCCTCCATATGTATGGGAATGCCGTCCTTCCATTTACTAGAGACCAGTGACATCACTGATACCCTCCATATGTATGGGAATGCCGCCTATCCATTGACTAGAGACCAGTGACATCACCCACACCCTCCATATGTATGGGAATGCCGTCCTTCCATTTACTAGAGACCAGTGACATCACTGATACCCTCCATATGTATGGGAATGCCGCCTATCCATTGACTAGAGACCAGTGACATCACCCACACCCTCCATATGTATGGGAATGCCGTCCTTCCATTTACTAGAGACCAGTGACATCACTGATACCCTCCATATGTATGGGAATGCCGCCTATCCATTGACTAGAGACCAGTGACATCACCCACACCCTCCATATGTATGGGAATGCCGTCCTTCCATTTACTAGAGACCAGTGACATCACTGATACCCTCCATATGTATGGGAATGCCGCCTATCCATTGACTAGAGACCAGTGACATCACCCACACCCTCCATATGTATGGGAATGCCGTCCTTCCATTTACTAGAGACCAGTGACATCACTGATACCCTCCATATGTATGGGAATGCCGCCTATCCATTTACTAGAGACCAGTGACATCACTGATACACTCCATATGTATGGGAATGCAGTCTTTCCATTTACTAGAGACCAGTGACATCACCGATACACTCTACATGCATGGGAATGTCGCCTATGCATTTACTAGACACCAGTGACATCACCGATACACTCCATATACTGTATATATGAGAACATGGACTATCCATTCACTAGACCACAGACAGTTCACAGTATGGCAGTAGACCCATTTAGTAGAGACCAGAGACAGTGACATGAAATGGTGCAGAAGAAGTCACGTTTAAGCAATAAATGTTCAGTCTAAGTGAGAGGCCACCTGTCACATGGAATATCCCTTTAAATGCCTACTTTGCCTGGATAAAGTGGCTCTTATGGCTTTTGACATTAATAATGAATCAGAATATCATTTATTTTCTGCGCACATTACCAGTGTTATATAAATATGTGAGTGGAAGCCAGCTGTAATGATTATACAATAAATATTTATTCCCCCCGTGCCGGGCTCGGAGCACTGGGCCCTGTTCTCTCTATTATTCAATGGCTCTGGTTTACAAAGAAGGAATGATGTTTGATGTCTGTTCCCCCGGGGAGATCCTATTAAACCTAATTATCCCATTCTTCTTCTTCTGCAGACTCGCTACAAATCGGACTTAAACTTTATGAGGGGAGTCGGCTGGGAGGCGGCGGGGTCTCCGCACATGGAGGGCGCCAAGAAGGCCGGAGAGCTGATCAGTGAGGTCTGTATTCATTATGAAGAGAGCGCGGCGAGCTCAGCCATGTGTATGGAGGCGAGTGTCTGCTTCCTGATACAGAATGTTCCAGATTATTAGGTGTAGACTTTGCATGTAGAGTTGTTTTTAATCAGATTGTTGATTGATTACTATTTCTGTTGGGTAGCGAGTAAGCATAACGATTTTGATTAAAAGTGATCATATCCAGGGCCGAATTTACTCTCCCTGCTGCCCCAAGGCCGGGTTCCGCAATGCTCCCCCCTCCCCTGACACCGACCCCCCTCCACATCAATGAAGAATGGCAACCGGATTGGAAGGGGCGGCAGGGTTAGTTTTAAGTTTTTTATTGTTTCTTTATTTTTTTTAAAACTTTTATTATCACTTTTTTATATTTTTTATTATTTTTTATTTATATTTATTTAATACATTTTTTGTATCAATTTTTTTTTTCTTCACTTAATTTTATTGCTATCACACAGGGGCTAACAAGCATTTGGAGGTGACAGTTTCTCTTTATTGACCCTGTCACTTTCCCAAAGCAGGGCTAAATGTAGAAAGCAACCCTGCGCCCGAAACTGCATGTTCTGGGCGTCGGGGGATTCCACACACGCTGCCGCCCCTCTGCGCCCTGCTGCCCCGAGGCCGGGCCTCGATGGCCTTGTGGGGATTATGGCCCTGACCATATGTCATGTAGAACTGAAGCCAATACTTTTTTTAATTTTTGGATACACTAAGGGGGTTATAGCCCCTTTAGGATTTTTTTGCCATCTATGCCCCAATGGGGATATTTCCTTTCATTTCCTGTCTGATAGCCAAAACTAGAAGTGAAAGAAATCCCTGGTGGTCAGCAGGGTCATCACAACTGGTGTCCCCACTGGAAGATGCCCCATCTACTACTTTTCTGGTGACCACCCAAAATTTGGGATTTTCTTCCACTTTTACTTTGAGTGATCAAAGTCGCCAGGACAAATAGCGGGGGTGGAGTCTCCCTAAAGGCTTCGGTTGCAATTGAAACAAAAGTTTCATTTGTAACACATGGCATCACAAGGGAAGTAAGATTGTACTCAAGAAGAAGTGAAGCCAGCTCCACATACACCAAGAAAAAACCTTCTGTCTGGACAGGAACCCGAATGTTGTAACTAGGGAGGAGCAGCCAGGGGCGTCCCAAGGCTGGGTGACACCCGGAGCGGTAACCGAGTGTCACCCCGCCGAGACGTCACTGCGCATTCGCGTGACGTCACCATGCGCGATGACGTTATCGCGCACGCGCGGCAGTATTCTGATACCTGAAGGCGGCCATCTTGGTGATGGACGCCGGCAGAGAGAGGAGGGGACAGTCACCCGGTGGGATAAGGTATGCCGCCGGGTCCCCTCCTCTCTCCTGATACTGTCGGGCGTTCGGCATGACCGAGCGCCCAACTTTTCAGAGGGGGGTGACACCAAAATGACTGTGAGTCATTTTGGTGTCACCCCTCCAATGGTGTCACCCGGGTGCGGGCCGCACCCCCCTTGTGACGCCACTGGGAGCAGCTACCTTCCACCAACTTAGTTTTGGAGCAAATTTGCAGAGAGATTTTCCATCACTTCTGAAACAGAAGGTTTTGGCTGGATCTGGGTTGTATGTCTTTGGATTTGATTCTCACAACTTGATCTCTGCTTTACAGACCAAATACCGTCAGAATCCAGACTCCATTGGGTTCACCGCAGTAACCGACTCTCCTGGACTGCTTCATGCAAAAAACAGCTACCTCCAGTGCAGCGAGGTAAGACCCTCTTCCTGCTACTGGTGAAAGAAACCACTGAGATCACAGATGTTCATATAAGACGACCTTTTCAGCGTACTTGTAGATGAAAAGCAATGTATGGCCGGCCAATGAGACAACCATTTGAAACCCATTACATTTTAAACAAAATTTAACCACCCGTTACCCTAAGGAGAACTATGGGGAAAAACACTGACCCCATAGTTCTCCTTTAAGGCTTTTTTATTTGGCTGACCCGTTGTCTAGACACGTGCAATTCGTTTAATTCCGAATCAAAATTCAGACGAATTTTCTGAAATGCAGAAATTCGGAAGCATCTGAATGTTGGAATCCCAATGCATCCAAATGTGTTAGAATCCGAATTTCTGTTTCCGAATTTTGTATCCCTTCCCGAATTTCGTTCAAAAACTAAACTGAATGGGACATGTGACTTTTCTGGCCAATCAGATGTGTTTTTCGGTTTAATGCATCCAAATGGGTCTATATACGAATTTTTGTCACGGCAACATGGGAGCCATATACAATATATATACATATAATACTAAAGCTGAGGCTCCCAGACCCGAATGTCATTCAGGATCCGAGTTTCCGAATTGCATTTGGGAGCTCCAGAAGGCCATTCGGGTCTCGGAGCCTCAGCTTTAGTAAAATATTGTGGCAGTGTAAGGCAATGTCACGGTGTAGTATGGTGTTTTTGGCACCCAGGACTCTCAGCCAAAGGGGCTGAGAGGGTCCAGAATGTGAGACATGTTATAAGGAAGAGCCTGGAAGAGTGTCATTAGCGGTGTGCCTCAGGGTTCTGTGCTGGGCCTCAGGGTTCTGTGCTGGGCCTCAGGGTTCTGTGCTGGGTCCCATGCTTTTCAACCTGTTTATTAACGGCATCGTGGACGGAGTAAACAGCGATATCTCAGTGTTTGCTGACGATACCAAAATTGGGAGCGTAATAGAAACGGACCAAGATAGTGTAACATTACAAGAGGACCTGGATAGAATAGGGGAGTGGGCAACTATGTGGCAGATGAGGTTTAATGTCGATAAATGCAAAGTTATGCACTTTGGGAGGAATAATAGGCAAATGGGTTATACAATTATGGGTATGCTCGGAAATGGAGAAAGATTTGGGGGTCATTGTAGACCAACTAAATAATAGATTACAGTGCCAGGTTGCTGTAAGCAAAGCTAGTAGAGTCCTGTCCTGCATCAAGAAGGGAATGTTTTGCAGGGATAGGTCTATAATTATGCCACTTTACACATCAATGGTTCGGCCCCACCTGGAGTATGCGGTGCAGTTTTGGGCACCGGTCCACAGAAAGGATGTCCTTGAACTGGAGAAAGTCCAGCGGAGGGCGACCAAACTCATAAAGGGGATGGAGGACCAGAGCTATGAGACACGGCTACTAAATTTAAACACGTTGGAAGTAAGGAGATTAAGGGGGGTCATGATTTTCATGTACAAAATGTTCCATAGTCATAGCAACATTAGCAACAAACTCTTTGAGATTAATTCCGTAACAAAGACTAGAGGACACCACCTAAAACTGGTAGTTAATTTCCACAATTAATCTGGAATCATTCAAGAGGCTTTTGGACGACTTCCTGAGAGACCGAAATGTACAAGGGTACAGGTACTCTTAAGAATGAGAACACTCATGGACCTATACACACACACACACACACACACACACAACAGGTTGGACTTGATGGACTTATGTCTTTATTCAACCTCAAATACTATGTAACTATGTCTCACATTCTGGACCCTCTCAGCCCCTTTGGCTGAGAGTCCTGGTGCCAAAGTCGCCATACTACAACGTGGCATTGGCTTACACTGCCACAATATGTATATGGCTCCCAAACTCGAATGGCATTCAGGAGCTCCCCAATGCAATTCGGAAACTCGGATCCTGAATGCCATTCGGGTCTGGCAGATTAAGCTTTAGTATTAATATCTGTATAAGGTTTTCTGTGGTATTTGAATATTCGTAAACTCGTCTGTCAGACGTCCCAGGGAGCTAGTAGTGAGATGAGGAACCCACTGGCAATAAGCAGCTGACAGTCCAGAAACGCGGAACAAGTTTAGGGATAATCCAAGAGGGGTAGTCAATGTCCAATCCGGGTCGAGGCAGGCAGCGAAGGTTCAAAGGCGGAAGACGGTCCAAGGGTCGGTAATCGGGAAGGATACACAGGGGCAACGACAATAGGAGGATCAGCAGGGAGGCTAGGTGTTCACCATAAGGTGGAATAACTCAGCAATAAGCCAGAGCTCAGGCCAGGTTTTTATAGCCAGGGGAGGTAGGACCACCCCCTGGTCACCGAGGCAACCAGGAGGCCTCCCTCCCCGGGAACCAATGGCAGGCGAGGAAGATG